TTCACCGTGTAATTTATTGCCGATAAAATACGAAAGTTGCCTTAATACTATTTTACCTTGATTCTTTGTTTTCGTAAAATTTGTAAAATATCGATTCATATATATATATATATATATATATATATATATATATATATATAACATCATATATGTATATCACCATTATCATATATATATATATATATATATATATATGATAACGTAGTGGTTCTCAGCTGGAAGTAAGATCGGCTTGGTGAGTTTCAAATTTCTATTCAAGGTCGCTGCGTTCATTTTCTCACAAATGAGCATAGGACAAATATGAATCCATCTTCTTTCTTGACAGACAAGGATCTCTAAACATGGCAATCTAACCAAGAGAAAGAAAACTGAATTCCAACCTGGGATGAGGGCTATTTGGAGATCGTATGAAATTTTGTGAACCGTTTTTTAGCACTTCTTCTGAAAAGTGTGGCTGCTTCTACAAAATCCTTCACCACTATTATCAAATAATTTGTGGTGATAATCCAACGCTTTAGTTAAAATGAAACCGAACTATTAAGCCCTTAAACGTCGAAATGCGACAGGAGAGTTCACCAATAAACATTACATGTGGTATGTGGTATATATTTATACAAATGCACAAAAAACACGCTAAATTTAATTAACTTGAATCAATTGAAATATAAATAATTTTAATTATCAAAATATTAATTTTATGCTTTCAAATGAAAAACAAAGAAAAAAAAAATAATGTGATTAACTAAATTTCTTTGAGAATCGAACCAACAGAAAAGATCTTTTTGTCTAAAGGTTTTCTAGATTTCTGGTTGAAATAACCGCCGGAAGTAGACACATAAACGTAAATGTCGGTTTGAATCGAGCAATTGAATTGTCAACTATTGTCGCCTAGAGAATAAACTGTGCGTGTTTGTGAATCAGATACACCGTCGTAAAATGTTTAATGACTATTTATTTATTGGTAAAAGATCAATTAGCTTAGAATATTTATACTCAAAACTTTTTAACGAAGCTACTAATCAATTATTTTAATATTGGTAATTCTACATATAGCAGTGTTATTTTCTCATTAAAGCTTCCATTAATTAGCAATGACAGTCCTATTTCACGATTTTCAATGAATTTCCATTGTAAAATCATTTACAATATATTTCTTTAGTAAAAGTATTAACTGTGCTCTCTAAAAATGATGTGATAAACATATATGTAGTACATGTAATAGCCTAATTCTCTCATTAACTATTACAATAATTTTTTACATTTCGCAGTATATTTTCTCTTTATTTTCAAGTCATTTTTATCGTACAATCATTTACACTTCTTTAGTACATTATTTGCAATGCATTGTTATAGTAAAATCATTACTGATAATTAACAATCCTCTTCTTCCCAATTTTCGAAGCAGAGTATACAGATTGAGTGCCGAAAGATTTAAAGATTTCGTGCTTCATAATTAATGTTCCTGTTGCCAGAAATATTTAATTTATTAGTAGAGAAAATTATTAAAGTGAAACAGAAAAATAGGAGAGTAGCTGTAAAATCAGTGGGAAGAAATGAGCAAAGTCGATATTTTGCTACGTATGACAAATTGAAATACATTCGAACTTAAAACTTTTTCTTTTATTTTTCTACCATAAGGATTTGCTGATGGGGTTATACGTGATCATTAAGGCAAATGAAACGCTTGAAGCGTCTGTTTAATAAACATTAACCACGATAGTAAAATAATAGTAAAAAATATCTTTTCCCATCAGCAGAATCCGGTGGATCTCGCTCGAGATTAAATGTTTAGAAATCTTGTAAAGATTACAGAATTCTTCTAATTATTGCTTACTGTCAAGAGGTTTTCATTTCTTCAATAGAATTCTGTCAATATTTTGTGCAAGGCACTTCTATAAAGTTTTTTTCAATTACAAGATTATTTTTATAACCAGGAGTTGTTTAACTCATACGCAAAAGTCAGAATATAATTACTAGAATTGATAAGATTTTTGAATACTGTATAAAATAACGTGTTTAGTAACTTTCTATTTAATTTTTATTTTTTTTAGTTACCTAATGCAGACTGACGTTAGTAGTGAAGTTGCTCACGAAAATTTGAATACAGCTGCTTATGAATGACTTACTTATAAAACATCGTGTCTTCATCTGCATATTATATTATTTTTTTACAGTTTTCTAATAATAATAATAATAAGAAGAAGAAGAAGAAGAAGAAGACATATCTAAATCGCAAGGCATCTACGTGTGTACCTCATGAGCCAGATGTTATTTAATTTGATTGCCTTTTGGTTTCAGATTAGAGACACAGATTTCGAGGGTGCTCGGGACGTTTGAGCCTGCTCAGTATGAGCTTCAATCTGATCAGTCCGTTTTTAAGAGTTTTAAGCTCATTAGATTTGTGCCTGATATCATCGTGCAGTGTATAACTATAATGAACTCCACTACATTCAACATCGCAGCTATGGTCCTCAAAAACTTTGTGGTGTTGTGGCTGATAAAGTTCTGGATAAACTATCCATGCAAGGTCTGGCCACTTAGAATATTTCTTTAACACAGCCACAGATAGCACGTTTTAGCCAGAGACCTCCAGCACGTCCTT